ATTGCTACCATTTTGACTTGTTATGTTTTTCTTGTACTTATTTTTCACTATAAACTTTTTAATATTATACTTTGTAGAACGTTTATAATTATTTAGTATATCACTTTGTGTTAAAAACACTTTCACGTTTGTTTGTTACAATCTCTCAAAGAGTTGTTAATACTTTGCTTGCTTATTCAATTCTGATACGAAGAGCGTTTATGACTGGTATTTATACCAAAATGGCTCTTCATTGAATATTCCGGACGCTCTTTCTCGAAATTTCCACACCAATCTACTAGCTAGATGAAATTTGGTTCAAAGTGACGAATTCTCTCTTGCTGCTTATACTATTGTATTCAAATACACAAATAGAAATGTAAGTGTGTACACAAAAGTGTTATGGAACTGCCTTCAAATGAACACATACTATAATTTATTTAAAGGTGAACTCAGCAGAGAATAAAAGTCATTCATAATTGAGAACAGACACACTTCTAGAAAGTTCTGTTAAAATGACCTTAATATTTGAAAATATTAAAAAGTTTTTATAATAAATAATACATGGGCTCACCCGAATGTGCTTTGACAATAAAGGTGACGCCACATCGGTTATATTTGTTTAGAATGGGGAAAAAGCGGAATTTGTCTTAAGATAAAACATTGTTTTTTGATGGAAAACATCGTCGTCAAAAACGGTGGCTTGATAAGTTTTACGGCATATCATTGAACGACCCAGTACTAGTTTGTTAAATTTTGTCGCTACTATGTATGCCCGCACAAAATAATGCTTCTCTCATCAGCTTGTGGTGCGATTGATAAATTGAAGAAATTGTTCTATGATTTTTGCAAGATTTAGCAATCTGTGATCACGAATCGCTCACAGCAATAAAGCATCTTGTCTAAAACTTCTTTAGTGAAATAAATAATCAAAAACGAAAAATTACAAAATTATCCACACAAACAAAATAAAATAGTTGTGTGTTCGTATCTGCCTACACGTATTCAAGAGAGTATTTCTGTAAAAACAAAAATATTTTCGATGTACTTAAGTAGGGTTGTATATTTTGTAGTTGGATAGCAATCACTTCATTCATCAGATCAGCAATACATAGTACATTATTCGATCTCACGCCTACACTATTTTTTACATATATACATGCATACATATGTATGTATTTACACTAATGTTGATCTTTGCATACATTCTGAGAATAATTTAAAATTACCCGATGAGGAGGCGTATTTCAAAGATCTGTCTGTCTGCTCAAGCAAGCGGTAACTTGTGTAAAAAATGAGTTTGAAATTTCTTCCGAGTGTGCACTGACACGTGACATGATATCAGCAAATCATATTGATAATAATTATTTACTTTTAGCATTTCATTTTACAGAATAAAAAAGCGTGTAATCGTAATGAATTCTATTATATCATTCTTACATACATACATACATACATATGTATTATGAATTGTACTAAATTCCATTTATTCTATTGGTCATTGATATTAATTAATAAAAAAAATTATAATTGGTAATCTTTAAAAATATGTGCATACGTACATACATATGTACATATGTATTTGTATATTTAAGGTTTGTGATTAAAGTAAAAAAATTAAATAATTATTCGTTTTGACTTTCCTTTCAAAGTAAAGCTAAAGAAGAAATTTCCAGATACTCCTCTCGTAATTTCCCCATACAACTGTACGTAAGAAAGTGTATATTGTATCAAAAAGTTGTAAATGCCTAGCACATATTTATGTACATAACTATAACGGCAACTACACTATCTAAGAGATAATGTCGCTCTGCTTTTTCATCACAACTCAGTTAATCACAAAACTTTAAGAGAGCAAATATTCACTTACTCTCACTCAAATCAGTTCATTTGTATATACAAACATACATATATGACTATATAACAATCGTGGCGGTAATTCAGTTAGAAAATGTTAAAAATAAAGGCAGTCAACAATTTACTTTAAACTACGAATCCTTCCAATATCCCAATAAGTTTTAACTTTTTAAAACTAAACCGCTTTACTGTGCTTCATACCAAAACACAGCACGAAAGAGAATTATACACACAAGCTTTCTCAGATTTAAATACTTCAGCGATAAAATTAAACACATTCGCAAATACTTATGTATGTATATAGAGAAGAGAGTTCGTCATACTGAAGCAAATTTAAAATTTCTCTCATATAACTATTTGCCGGCTATAAAGTCAGGAATACCAGTATCTGTATATACACATGTATGTATATTATTATTCATATTCACCCAGAGTTTACGCGAGCTACTATGAGAATCGAAATTTTCTACTTGTCATATGGAAATTTCGAGAAAGAGCATCCGGAATATTCGATGAAGAGCCATTTTGGTATAAATACCAGTCATAAAC